AGGTGTAATAATAAATTTTAATAGCTACTTCTATTGTGGATTTTGGTTCGGTTTTTTCGGTCATTTCTAGATTAAAACCAAAACCAAATTAAATTTGATCAGCTTTTAAAATTTAAAACAAAAACCAAACCAAAAAAGTATTAATTTTTTTAGTCAATTTAATTCGATTTCATGGTTTGGTTTGATTTTTCGAAGTTTTATGAACACCCTAATTGACGTGTACAAAATATTGAAACAAGGCTAGTAAAAGTAGTGAAGCCCACAACGGCGTTGTGTCATGTGATCCACGGAAGATTATTTGTCCAGCCCGAAGTCTAAGCCCAAGGCCCAAATGGAACCCAAGAATTAGCGAAGCCTTTTTAAAAAACCCTAAAACCTAACGAGCAATATTAACACAGAACTTAGAACGGAGGCGCAGCACAGAGCTTGAGAGAGAGAGAGAGAGAGAGAGTCGCCGTTGCAGCAACAAAAGTATTGTTCTCAACACTATTTAGTTTGCTATACTTCAGTTAGTGATTGTGTATATAGTAGACTATATTCAAAGATTCATTCATTGCTTACAGGGAAAAAAATGGCGGACAAGGCAGTGACTATTAGAACTAGGAAGTTCATGACCAATAGGCTTCTTGCAAGGAAACAATTCGTAAGTCCTTAAAATGTTGATCCTTTTCGCATTGAAAGATTGTCTTTGTAAAGCTCCTTTGATCTATTTAAAAACTCAAATGCGTGTGACGATTTTTGCAGATTATTGATGTCTTGCATCCTGGAAGAGCCAATGTTTCCAAGGTTAGAACTACTCTCGATTTTTCTTTTTCACTAATAAATTTCCTTATGTGCTTTTTTGTTACATGCTTTGGAGAATTTCACGTTTTAGCTGTAGTTATAGGAGGTAGAGATCCAGTAACTCTTTAGCTAACATGATGGGCTTTGTTTACCTTTCTCTTAATGTTCATTCTTGTGCTGGAATAAAGCAAAATGGATATAGGGATTCATATAGCTAACCTCTACTAGATTGAGACAGTGGCGGAGCCAGGAATTTTAACAACAACAACAACAGTGGGGTCTGAAAAGGGTAGTGTGTACGCGGACCTTACCCTACCTTATGAGTAATTTTATCAAGAGGATTCAAAAAAATCAATCTTGCGACCTGAAACAAGTTTTGAACTGCCTTTGCCACTATTATGGAAACTTCACTTTAATTCAAGGGATTAAGAATTATTTGTATATATGAAAAAATTGATTTTGCCCTATTTGCACGATTCTCCAGCAAAGTGGATTCAATTGAGCCACTGGTTTGGGATTGAGACAAAGTTGATTGATTGATCAATCGATAGTATGTATGTCAACTTCTTGCCTAGTGAAACACCTAATGAGCCTATTTATGATTTTGTGCTGAACCATAGGCGGTGTTTCTTTAGAAATGTTTACAGAAAAGTTTCCCCCTAGCATCTCTGCACTATTCCTTTGCTTTTAGTTATTTTGTAATACCCAGTACATGATAACTTATAGCTTCACGGTTATAAGTCATTTTTTATTACTTGTCATATCTGAATGTGCTCAATTTTTAACCTGTTAATATTTTGGGTTACCCGTTATTTAGTTCTTGTGATTTTGTGGCTTTTCATTGTTCACCTGTTTTAACTTGTATTGTAGGCTGAGTTGAAAGAGAAATTGGCAAGGATGTATGAAGTGAAAGACCCAAATGCCATCTTTGTGTTCAAGTTCAGGACCCACTTTGGAGGAGGCAAATCTACTGGATTTGGTTTGATCTATGACTCTGTTGAGAACGCAAAGAAGTACGAGCCCAAGTACAGGTTGATCAGGGTAAGCATCATATTATTTGTGCATGCGTGCTAGAACCTGTGCATTGTTTCTCTTTTTTCTTGGTAGTATTTGAGCTGGATTGTCTTGAATGTGAGCTCTAGAATAAGCACATAATCTGTTATTTCCAACACATGAACATAGATTTTAAGGTTATAAAAACTCAAAGGGAAACCTGGTTTGTGTTTCATAGATTTTAGGTTTGTCCAATTATAACTAGTTTAATAGATTGCACTGGGTTGCTTGTTCATGCAGAACCATAAGTGCTGCAACTAGTGAAGTTGGGAATCTAGTAGTCAAGGTTCATTATATGTTGTTTGTCCATTCAAGAGTCTTAGCATTTTTGTCAGATAATTTTGTTCTCGTGTATGTCTTACCCTATCCTAATAATTCTGTTGGATGATGTTATAGAATCACCATTGGAAATGGGCTTGTACAGTTTCTAACTTTGCAGAAGTTTATCAGTCTTATATTTTCTCCATAATTTTATTCATGAGATGTCTATTGTTGTAATTTGCTGATCTGCTATCCAAAACCAATTGCAGCCTGTAGGATTGCATTTGTTTGAGCAATGTAGTACAAAGCTATTCTGACTATAATCACGTGCTTTGTATTATTTTGATCTCTTTCCTCTAGCTCTAACGCTGACCCTATCTTCTTTATTCAGTAGTTTTTGGTTCCAATTTGCATTAAGTGTATCTTGTGGAGTTAAATTTATCCCTAAAAAAACTGTATCGTGTTGAGCTGCTTTCAGCATTTTCATGAAGTTGTATTCTGAACCTTTCTTGTAGACAGGAGAAATTGTTTCACTTATTATATTCTTTTGAGAAACTATTCCTCTGGCAAAGTGGCCAACAAGTTAATGAAGGGTTTGTTAAGTTAACATTACTCATCTTAAGTTCTCCCCAAGTGATAAATATGTCCTTTGTGATGTACTAGCACAATCCAGGATCATTTTATTGAATATTGAGTACTATATTTGAAGCTTCTTCGTGATTGGATCAGTCTATAACCATTGCTAATCATTTTCACCATTGAACAACTTTCACAGAATGGATTAGACACTAAGGTGGAGAAGTCAAGGAAGCAAATGAAGGAGCGCAAAAACAGAGCCAAGAAAGTTCGTGGTGTCAAGAAGGTAAAGACTGTTTTCTCTTATTGTCTTTGCTGCTATGACCAGGAGATAATTGCTCTATTGTTTTCGGTTCATGTTTTCATTCTTGGCATGCTAACGGTATTGTTCCATGAAATTTGCAGACCAAGGCTGGAGACGCTAAGAAGAAGTGATCTATTACTAATTGTAGACGAAGCGGGAAAAATGTTTTGCCTAGATATGCGTTATCATTTGTGTTTATGTGGGGACCTTTTTGTAGGCTCTTTTCAATTTTGCTTGGGTTACTCTAATATAATTTGCATGTTCAAGTACTGATCATCAAAATTGAGTGGATGTTTAAAATATTCTTCTCTTCCATCGTTGCCCAAAATACTACTATTGTCCTAAAATTTCGGAGTATAAAGTAAAGGGTATAAGCCTATGTTCTCAATGGATCAGCAATGCCCTCATAATTATGTTATAAGTTAAGTTTTTAGTAATGGTTAAGGTAGTGTTCCACTCTGTCTTCGACTTTACTTGCCCAACAATAGAAGGGATAAAAAATGAGCGAGTTCTCGTAATATGCCTAAGTTTGAGTTTAATCGTGCAATGTGAATTTAGCTTCAGTAATTCATCAGTGTAGTACTCAAGTTTTATCTGCGTAGAACCTTAAAAGTTTGTCTTGTTTCAGCCATAGAGAATGCGTAAATAATTTGCGCAAGGGAATGTCAAAAGTGCCTCTATAATATAAAGTTGAGTCCTTGAACCAAAATTTCAATCATCTTAAATTCTTAATAATCATGTTCTATGTAAGTTAGTTCTAGGTTAGAATTAAGGATCATTTCTCCAAAGGGCTTGGAAACTATATCAATTTATTTCTGTTTGCATCTTTATGGTTATCTTTTCTGAAAAATGGATGTGGGGAAAGAAATTAGTTGATGTAATAAGGCAATAAAAGAAGAAGAACAATATTGTAGAGAAAGAGGAAATTCTTAATGGATTTTGGATAATTTACATTACAATTTTATTCATTACACTCCCCCTTGAATGTCTACTCAATAAGTAATGTACCTCGTTAAAACCTTAACTAAAATAAAACCCAATGGGAAACAAATTCTAGAAAAGAAAAAAGAGTACACGTATTTAATAATACGCCTTTTGGTTGCCTCGTTAAAAACCTTGCAAGGAAAACCCAGTGGGACAAAACCTTAGGGAAAAATAGTACAACATGTATTAAACTCCCCCTGATGAGAGCATCATTTCAAATCCTTGAGCCTTCGTATCCTAATCTTGTGCACTAGCTTCTTGAAGGTTGACGTCGGTAGAGATTTTGTGAACAAATCAGGCCATATTATCACTTGAACGTATCTGTTGCACATTAATATCACCATTTTTTTGAATATCATGTGTGAAAAATAACTTTGGTGAAATGTGCTTTGTCCTATCTCCTTTTATGAATCTTCCCTTCAGTTGGGCTATGCATGTTGCATTGTCTTCCAACAAAATTGTGGGTAGTTTGTCACATTTCAAACCACATTTGTCTCGAATAAGATGTATTATAGACCTCAACCACACACTCTCGACTTGCTTCATGAATAGCAATTATCTCAGTATGATTAGATGAAGTAGCCACAATTGATTGCTTAGTCGATCGCCAAGATATGACAGTGCCTCCACAGGTAAACACGTAACCTGTTTGAGATCGAGCCTTCTGTGGATCGGATAAATACCCAGCATCGGCATAACCAACAAGATCGGGACTGCAATTATTGCCATAAAATAAGCCGATATCGGTAGTCCCTTTTAGATACCGCAATATGTGTTTGATTCCATTCCAATGTCTCATTGTAGGAGCAGAGCTATATCTTGCTAAGACATTGACTGAAAAAGCTATGTCAGGCCTTGTAGTATTAGCAAGATACATTAGTGCACCAATTGCACTAAGATATGGTACTTCAGGACCAAGTAGCTCTTCATTCTTTTCTTGAGGTCGGAATGGATCCTTATTCACATCAAGTGATCGAACAACCATCGGAGTAATTAATGGATGTGCTCCATCCATGTAAAACCGTTTCAATACCTTTTTTACGTAGGCAGATTGATGAACAAAAATTTCGTTTGCCAAATGTTCAATTTGCAAACCAAGACATAATTTTGTCTTTCCGAGATCTTTCATCTCGAAATCCTTCTTTAAATAATCAATTGCCTTTTTGAGTTCTATAGGAGTTCCAATAAGGTTTATTTCATCAACATATACGGCAAGTACAACAAATTCCGATGTTGTTTTCTTTATAAAAAAAACATGGACAAATGGCATCATTTATATAACCTTCCTTTAATAAATATTCACTAAGACGATTATATCACATTCGTCCTGATTGCTTTAGACCATACAAAGATCTTTGCAATTTGATTGAAAATATTTCCTGGGACTTTGAATTATGTGCGTTAGGCATTTTAAACCCCTCGGAATTTTCATGTATATCTCATTATCAAGTGAGCCATAAAGGTAGGCGGTAACCACATCCATTAAATGCATGTCAAGCTTTTCATGGATAGCAAAACTAATGAGATAACGGAACGTTATAACATCCATAACGGGTGAATATGTCTCTTCATAATCGACACCATGACTTTGTAAAAATCCTTGTGCAACAAGGCGTGCCTTATATCTTTGTACATCATTTTTCTCATTCATCTTGCATACAAAGACCCATTTATAGCTAACAGGCTTAACACCATTAGGTGTTTGGACTACAGGCCCAAAAACTTCATGTTTTGCAAGTGAATTCAACGCTTATTGGATTGCTTCTTGCCATTTTGGCCAATCACGTCTTTGTCGATATTCTCCAACAGATTAAGATTCAAGATCCTCACTATCTTGCATAATGCTAGATGCAACATTATACGCAAAGACATAATCTACCACTATATCCAATCGATTCAAATTTGTCTCAATATCGATTGGATTTATTGATAGTTTCTTATTTTCTTGAGTCTCAGGCTCATCGATTTCCTCATAAATCTCAGGATTTGTTAAATCGTGGATTTCTTCATGAGACTCTTTCGTAGTGTCATCTTGATCATTTGTTTTTCTTTTTCTAGGATTTTGATTTTTAGAACCTAATGGTTTGCCATGTTTTAGGTGTGCTTTTGACTCATTAGCTATGACACTAGAAGATTGTCCAACAGGGATATCAATACGAATTGGGACATTCTCTGCAGGGATATGTGATTTTGTTATCCTTTTCAAATCCGTAAGTGCATCTGGCATTTGATTTGCTATTTCTTGCAAATGAATAATCTTTTGCGCCTCTTTTTCTCAAATATAGGCACGTGGATCAAGATGAGACAATGATGGATTTTTTTACAAAATTTCCCGTTTGGTTTCACCATTTTCTCCCCATAATTTTGGAAAAAGTGTCTCATCGAATCGACAGTCTACAAATCGTGCAGTGAACAAATCCCCCATTAATGTTTCGAGGTAGCGAATAATGGAGGGTGATTCAAGCCCAACATATATTCCTAACCTTCTTTGGGGACCCATTTTGGTGCGATATGGCAGTGCTACAGGCACATATACTGCGCATCCAAAAAAATTTCAAATGAGATATATTAGGTTCATGACCCAAAACTAATTGAAACGGGGAATATATATGATAATTGTCGGTCTGAGACGAACTAGCATTGTTGCATGCAAAATGGCGTGACCCCAAACAGAAATGGGTAACATCCTTTTCATGAGTAACGATCTTGCTATCAATTGCAGACGTTTATTTAAAGACTCTGCAAGGCCATTTTGAATGTGAACATGTGCTACATGATGTTCCACTTTTATCCCAATTGATAAACAATAATCATTAAATGCTTGGGATGAAAACTCAACAGCATTATCAAGTCTAATAGACTTGATTGGATTATCGGGGAATTGCGCCCGTAATCGAATTATTTGTGCCATTAATTTTGCAAACACGAGATGACAATAGGCACACATGAGACCATCTAGAAGATGCATCTATTAAGACCATAAAATATCCAAACGACCCATTAGGTGGTGAATAGGTCCACAAATGTCCCATTGTATACGTTCCAAAAACGCAGGGACTCAATCCCAATCTTTGTTGGTGATGGTGTAATAATTAACTTGCCTTGATAACAAGAAGTGCAAGAAAATTCATTATTTAAAAGAATTTTAAATTCTTTAATGGAAGCCCATTTGAGTTTTCTATAATCCGTCTCATCATATTGATACAGGGTGTCCCAATCGATCATGCCAAAGTACAAACGTATTGGAATCAGTAACCTTTTGGTTTACAATAGAATGTGCCTTAATTGCACTAATTCTTGTCCAATACAGGCCACAAGATAAAGATGAGAATTTCTCAATAACCCTTTTCTGGCCAGAGACATTTTTGGTAATGATGAGATATTCGAGATTATTCTCATCTTTTGTCTCAATATGATATCCATTTCGGCGGATATTTTTAAAATTCAACAAGTTCCTCTTGGACTTGGAGGAGAACATTGCATTCTCTATGATAAGTATTGTTCCCTTAGGCAGAGTTATAGTAGCTCTTCCAGAGCCATCAATTAATTTACTACTACCAGAAATTGTAGTAACATTTGTCTTACACATACTTAAATGAGAGAAATATTTCTTCTCTTTGAATATTATATGTGTCGTACATGAATCAACTAAGCAAATATTTTTACAATTGAACTTTGATCCAAGTTTGCTTTGTGGAATATCCATATTTGCTTCCCATGTGTTGACATACAAAAGAAATATACAAATAAACATTAGTATTTCCAGAGAAAATTGGAAGAAAACAAAGTTAACCCAATGATTCAATAATAACCTTTTAATGCAATTTCAAGCAAATTCTAGTTATGGTACAAATAATTACATAGCTAAAAATAATGCAATTATAAGTATATGCGTCGAGCTACGTTCCTTTTGCATTTCCATATCAAACTAACTGTCAAGTCAATTCTCAACTATATAGGCATAGTATTCTTCTTGATAAAAATAATCAATGCAATATTATGTTGATGCATGTACTGAGCCAGAACAACTCGAAAATAATATGTTCTTTAAGAACATAAAGTTTATACTGATGGCTTTTTATCTTTTCTTTGTCAAATAGTTTGTTACGTTTTTTTTGGTATGATTTTGTGGCAATATAGAATTCTAAACTACTTAGAATAATTGGAAATTCTTTTATTTAATGCAGTATAAAGAAGCATCATGGTGCTTACTAAGTAATAACTAAAAGGGTGTAGAATTTCATAGAGCACAAGATAATGACTAAAACTATTAAGCTATGGTGTGAACCGTAACAGAATCTACTTTTTAATCACAAGAGATAGAAGAAAAA